CCCCCCCCCCCCACACACACACAAATTATTTCTCGCAAATAAGCAAAGATTAAGTATTTTTTCATAAATTTAATTAAATTGACAAATCTAAAATGTAGCAATTTATATTATTTGAACGAATTTATATAGATTCTAAAAATATGATTTACTTATCTAATCGCATTTACTATATACGAGCGGATGCAATATAAAATTATCCGATTTATATGTAAATTAAAAAATAATAACAGAATAAATCGACTTTTCATATTCAATAAACATAATGAAAATAAAATATAAATGTAATCTATTATATACATTTTAGTGTTTCATATGTGTATATAATTTGTATAAAGTTACAGTTAAAAAAAGTAATACTTTGCATAAAGATCGATTATCTTAATTGCACTACTATTTAATGATTTAACAATGCTAATGTGACGATCTAATGAAGTTATACTTATCCTATCATCGTGATGAGTATGATGACGTTCTTACGGCACACAGTTTCTTTCAGTTTAGGATACAATACTTATGCGTGTAAAATCGCGACAGTTTCTATCATGGTCAACACTATAGAACAAGCTATGCAACCTATTTCAGTAGGTTCTTTTATCTTCGGTTTCGGAATTATCAGATATCCCTCCAACAAACCGAGATTTCGCTTGAGTCTTTTTTATATATTAATTGTGTGGAGTGTTTATATTTATGGGCTTTATTATGTGATGATTTTTTTTTCACCGAGAAGTATTTTCAATGGCTCTTTAAATGTCTTTATCGTAATAATGAATATACTTGTGACGATAATATCCGTGATCATTAGTTTTCATAAATATAAGGTATATCTTATCTTTTTTTGTACACCAAAATATACATTTTTTAATAGTATAATATTTAAAGGGAAACAAACGACGCATAATCGCGTCTAATTTAGAATAACCTTTGTCCTTCCTAATTTGAAAATATAAAATTTAATTGAAATTAAATAAATTTATATTTTCTATGTAAATAAAAAGTTTTGTATCTTTAAAATTAATTTTATTTCAGAATATTAATTTTTGGAAAAGCTAAATTGTCAATTTAGTGTTTACAATAGATTTAATTTTCAACGTAATCAGATAATTTACTATAAAATGTTAACAAAATTTATGTTAAAATCGTTGACAATATAAAATACACCTTTAAATACATATGGATATTCTTCGGACAGTCTTCTTTATATGTACATTTACATTTTCTTATCGCTATTTTTTATTCTTAGAAATTCCGCACATGTATAAAGAAACTGAGTTTCGTGGATGATACATTAGAACTGCTCGGGACGCCCACGGAATATCACAGAATGCGAAACTCAATAAAATGGATATACATTATATGGTTTATAATAATCTGCACGACATGGTTTATTGATTCTTTGTTTCACATAGAGAAGTTTAATGACATAAGAGCCATATTTATCCCCATCATTAAAGATTATCCAATACATGCCAACACCCTTATGGATATAATGTATATGTTCCTTTTAAGGTTTGTAAAATTTTATTTTATTTTGTAATTATTTAATACATAATGGAATCGTTAGTCTGTAACTAAATTAATTAAGATAAATTAATAAATTCCTGAATTTTTAGGTGATAAATGTTATATTAAGATAGAGTTAAAATTAATTAAATTAATTCTCACTTACAAAACGTATCATTAACGTAATAAACATTTTACTTGTTATTACAAATTAATCATAAAGTCTTTGATTTAATGTATAATTCCTATAAAGAATGTATAAATCGAAACTTATAGTGCATTATAAAATTATACAATTATAAGTAAAAGAAAAAAATCGATAATTTGCATACCTTTTACTTTGCTATATCTAGAAATAAAGAATTTAATAAACGATTTCTTTAATGTTCTTTAAATTGTAGATATTTAGGTACTAGATTAGATAAAATAAACAATCACATTGAAGAATTGTCTGAGACAGAAGAACATGGTTTAAGAGGCACATGGAAAAAATCCCTTATTGTCATTCGACCTTATATGCACGGCGCGGGAAATCGCAAGCGCGTATTGTGGATCACAATGTAAATTAATATATATTAAAATGATGCAAACAAATAGAAGAACTTTTGTAAAAAAGGAGAATAACTTCATTAATGAAATATACTATTGTATTAATTACAATTCTATTTATAATATTTTTGATTGATACTTGATTCGTGGCAATTTTATGCACATGTATGAGTGTGTTATCATTATTAAAATTTGTTCAATTTATAAAACAATATTCTCACTTTGTATAATGTACATGGATAAAAATGTTAATTTTATATTGTTAACTAACAAACTAAGTTTTCTTGTATTAATTATATCTATTGTATTTAATTTTGTCCAAATAAAAAATGATACATGTGCATGTATATATATATATATATATATATATATATATATATAACTTAGATCTTAGAAATAACGAATGTATAATTATATTTCAATTTCTCAATAGCTATGCATTTATTCATTAATACATTGTATTTCTAGGCATCTTCACTCGGAACTCTGTCGAATAGTTTCCGATATACATAGCTTATTCGAAATACATATGACACTCCAAATGGTATCTTATTTTGTTATTTTAATTACAATGTTTTATTTTCAATATCACACAATGTTATGCTTAAAACAAATGTATGGTGGTAATTTTTTTCGACTGAAACTAATACTCAGCAGCGATGTATGGTTTGCTGTAAGTTTAACAAAAGTTATATCATTTAATCACATCTGCGAAAGCGTTAGCGCCAAGGTGAGTTAATTTTTAGCAAAGTAAAGTAAAAATATAATTTCCATAAGCAGAAATTTTATAGGATATGATCCACAATTTTTATAAAAAATTATAAAGCATAATGTTAAGTCTATTTTAGAGAAAATGTGAATGACAGTCAGAAAACAATTCACATTGCATAAATAAATCACTTTTATAAATTGTATAAGTATTTTAATTAAAATGTTTGTTCATAATAATACAAATGTTTATGTACAATTATTAAATAATATAATTAAATGTATTATTATTATATTTAAGATATACAGTAATTATAATTAATTTTATATTATTATATTATTTTAGGCAAAAAAAACTAAAGACATAATCCATAAATTGACAAATCTCATATATTTTACTGAAGCACGCGAAGAGGTGAAATAAGTTTCCTAACTACTTCTCGACTTTATAATTTTTATCATTTTTATTGAATATTTCTAAATAATAATTATATTATCATCTAATGCAGATTTTCCAGTTTGTTTTGCAAATATCGCTTCGCCCATTGAAATTTAGCGCATTAGGTCTATTTTACTTTGATTACAAATTCATTCATAAGGTTAGTAAATATTATTCATTAACTGTATCCAAAAATATGTATTAAACAACAAAAACTGCAGAACATTTATATTTGATATCTGCTTTCAGTTCTTTGTCACAATTCTCACTGCTGTTGTTTTTATGCTGCAAATGGATACTTCTCCCATATACAAAATCATGCTTTCTAATAATATGACATGTTACGATTAAAAATAGGAAAAAATATGTAATTAGAAAATTTAATGTTATTCGTCCAGCTCTTTATATAATATTTCTATGTATAATATTTCTATTTATGTCTAAAAATAAAAATAGATTTCAAGTAAGTGTTGTAATTAAGTATAATAGTTATTTTGTATAAATGTGAAAATTATTTCAATATTATTCTTCTAACCACTATAATTTAATATTATTGATTATACATATGTATTTATTATTTAATCCATTAATTGATATCATTTAATAATTATACATATTTTGTAATGTACTTAAAATAAAAAAAATTTACAAAATCTTAATCCATTTTAATATATTAATTACGTAATACACATGGAATCCATATAAGTTTTCACGTAGAAAGTAAATCTAATTGTTGATTATAAAAATTCACTCTTTAAAAAAATCCATTCATTAAAAGGTGTCATTGCTTAATTTTTATCCGTTGTACAATTATAATATCGTGTAAAATATTTTAATTGGCATCTGACCAAAAGCTAAACCATTTGCCAATCATTGTCATTAATACCGTGTGGCGACATCGATCGATCGACTCATTCTGTTTGTTTACGAGAATTAAATAATGCATAGTACTAATTCATTGATCTGACAATGTATTATTATATTGTCTTGATAAATGACATATGTTAATGGAATAGGTTCCAATAGCAACTGATGTTAGTTTGCGGAAGGGACTGCGAGCGTGATAACTATGATAACCAACACACAACAGGCTATATATCCCTTACTTCTGATTTGTTCTATTTTTGGCATAAATATTTACTTCCCGAAGAAACTTTATTTAAATATCCTTTATAATCTAACAGTATGGATCAGTTACGGTTGCCTCTGCTGTTATATGGTGACCGCACTTAAGGCAGGAGAATGGTTTCAGTCAGTCTCTAATGTGGTCCATTTGCGGATTGGCGTTCTAAGGACCATTACATCCATTATCATGAGTATATATCGAGACAAGGTACATATTTATTCAAAATTTATGATCAAATATAATTTTACAATAAAAATGTTATTCTTCTTTAAATACTTAATATTTTTACATAATTATATTTTAGAAAATACATTTGACAATATATAATATTTTGAACTGTTGTTTAATACTGTTCAGAAATTTAGATTATTTATGAAGAAACTTGATGCTGTAGACGATACGTTGGAAGAATTAGGCACTCCAAAAATGTATCAGAAATTTCACGCGTATGTAAAAGGAGTGTTAGTTGGATGGTTAGTGTGTGGCTACACAATAAATATATGTGACATGATATGGTGGTTCTATGTAATGGAAGATCGTCGGTGTATGATTTTACCATATTTCATAAATCATTTTCATCACGTTAACATGTTAATGGATCTATTAATTCTGATCTTTTTATGGTGTGTATAATATTCAAGACATTTATGAGTATTCCATATCTTTTTTTAATGTCGAATGAAAGAGAGTAGAAGTAGAGATTTTTACAAAATAAAAAGAATGAATTGATAAGGCCTGATTTTGGCTCCTCTCAAATTTTGATGCGCTTCGTCAAAATGTATCTCTGGAAATAGTTAACATTCATCTCAAGTGTTTTGAGCTAAAACGGATATAACTGCACGATCCCTGTACCATATATACCGTAGAAATTTATATTCTCAGTGTGGCAAATATTATCAAAGTATTTTGAAAAAACTAATTTTTGTTATATTGCAGAATGATCGAAATCATTTCAAAAGGGGATAAATTTCTCTGCATGTCGACAGTTTTACATGTTGAAATCTAGAACATATGTTCCGATAAGACTCCAAAAAATAATCAATATTGTCTTTTATAAACAATGTGCAAATGTTACTTCGCAAGCTGTGTGTATGTGTGTGTGTGTGTGTGTGTGTGTGTGTGTGTGTGTGTGTGTGTGTGTGTATTTGTCAGTTAAAAACAAATGCCCGAATTATGAGCTGCGATGCGCACTCGCCTCTGTTTTGTAATACTTGTGTATGTACTATAGACATCTGGAAACAAAACCTCAATATCACAGTAATATTTTTTCAGAATACAAAATGGTAAGACTGTCAGTATCAATGCAGAGAAAATCATACTTTTTTCGATCATTCTGCAACATAACAAAAATTAGTTTTTTCAAAATACTTTGATAATATTTGCCACACTGAAAACATAAATTTCTACGGTATATATGGCACAGGCATCGTGCAGTTATGTCCATTTCAGTTCAAAGTACTTGAGATGAGTATAAACTACTTTGAGAGGTGCATTTTTTGACGAGACGCACCAAAATTTGAGGGAGGCCAAAATAAGGCCTTATCAATATCATTCTTTATAAATCTTTTAGTAAGAATTCTAAAAGAATATATTACAGGTGTATTATTCACAAAATAACTTAGAAATTATCGTAAATAATTTTTTTTAATATAAATAAAATGTAATATATTTATATGAATCTGAAAGTAATTATCTTTGAAAACAAATAACTTCATATATTTTAAACTGTACAGTTACTTCTGTTTTGTAACAATAGGTACATTGGTAATAGATTTGATAAGGTGAATGAACACGGGAAATATTTAATAATAAAAGAAAACTATGGATTAAGAAATTCATGGAGAAGATCTGTACCAATTCTCGCCAAAACATCATGTGTAATGATTATAAACGCATTCTGTGGATCTTAATGTAAATCGATAGATCAACATGCTGAAATAGATCATTAATTAGATATCACTTAATAATGGATATATAGTACAGGCAAATTTGACAAAAATTCGATTTATAAAAAAACTAACAAAAAATAATTTTTTTCTTTCTACTTATGTGTCTTTATTTTCTCATTAATAAATTTTGTTCTTTGATAGGCATCTTCACTTAGAATTATGTCAAATTGCTCGTGAATTAAATACAATATTTGGACCTCAGATGACTATAGAAATGGCAGCCTATTTAATATACGTTGCAAGAACATGTAATTACATAGTCATGCACGTACGAACAAAAACTTTGTATATAAGTACACTACGGTTTTGGTTTAGCATTTCTTTTCGGATTTCCTTGTATTTGACCATACTGTTTAGCTTAAATTGCATATGTGAGAGAATCAGTGTTAAGGTAAATATCCATGTAAACTTTCATATATATATATATATATATATATATGTATATATATACAATTGTATGTGTAAATTCCCGCATACCCGCATTGTAAATATACAATATATATTAAAATATTTCAATAATAATGTAATATTTTCAATTACATATTATTTTTTTATTAATAATGTTATATAATATTTATTATATAATAAAATCAGTCATCAATTTTAGGCTAATAAAATGCAAAAAATAATTCACCAATTGACAGATTCTCTTCAATATACTGATATTCATGATGAGGTAAAAACATTTTGATAATAAAAACCAATTCAAAAAAATTATTTTAATAAATAAAAATAACAATTTGATATATGTATACAGATGTACCAGTTTTCATTGCAAATAATGCATTATCCGCTTAAATTCACTGGAATGGGTCTCTTCTATTTTGGCTATAATCTTTTACGAAAAGTTGGTATTTATATTTATAATTTCTTTTATTTTATTATACGTACTTTTATATCTTTTACTTTTACATCATACCACAAATTAGAAAACTCCATAATTTTTTTCAGAATATCTTACATTTTTATATTTACTATCTTTATGTCCATTTTTGTATAATGAAAATTTGTAAATCATTGTATAGAATGGATGTACATGCACACTACACACGCGTGCGCGCGCTTCTACCCCCCCTCCTTCTACAATGATTTACAAATTTGTGTATGTGTGTGTGTGTGTGCGCGCGCGCATGCGTGCGTGGTGTGTGTACATGTATATAATACATATATGAAATAATCTTGTTTATTTTATTGAAGTATTTTAATTTGTACATTTTCTTGCAGTTCTTTACAACAATTACAGCGTTCATAATTATTATTATACAGATATCTGGCAGAACAAAAGATGAAAAGGACTTTTAAGAGAGACTAAGCAACCAAAATTTTCGAATAAAATTTGCATCATATAATGCATAATATATGTAATTATTAAAATTATAATTAGTGAAAAATGTACTTTAAATAGCTCTATAATTATTCCACATACGAAAAATAAAATTCACTTTTCTTTACATTTCTTTTCTGATCCTTCTATAAATTGTTGAAATATATTTTAAGAAGCTATGTTAATATATGTATAATTGTTCTGTCTTGCAGGCAACCAAATGTAATTTATTATAAACAATTTATATCCAAATTAAATAATTTTATCATCAAAAACTTTTCTTATAATAATATAATGATAAATAACATAAACAAAATTGAATTACCACTAAATAATTTCTTGTATATTTTTCAATTTTTTATATACCCTATATTACCCATATTACTAACAAAAAAATTTTAACGACATAAATATTAGTCATGTATTGAAGATTAAAATAAATAGAAAGCAATTAATGTATAAATTTTTACAAATATACTTCTTCAACTTTTTGCACATTTTTATTTCTATAATTATTAAAGTTAAATTATTACATGTCAAAAGGATAATAATGTAAAAAACGCGGTATTATTATAATGTTCATTATTTTAGCATTCTTTAATTTCATTGCACATGTACAATATGGCACATAATAACAAAAAATTATCTAGCACAAGATGATAAAGTCAATATTGAATGGACTTGTTTCATACTAAAAAATTAATAGCATTATTACAATGGTTTGCACTAATAATTGAACCAATTATCTCTTTGATTAAAGAAAATTGATCGTTTCAATTTGCGTGAGTGCTATAAGGAATATATAATACGATCATGACCATATACTATCGTTGCAAATCGGTACAATCGTGATGCGTCTGATAAATAAGTTCAAACAGTGTTAGTTTATATTACTGATAAACATGGTAGTCTCTATTCAAGAAGTTTTACGTCCTCTTTTGATTGTGTGTTT